AAAAAAAAAAAAAAAGAAAAAAGAAATGCTGCATCATTAATGTCTTTATGGCACAGGTAATAGCATTGTTTGTAGAAATATAAATATTGCTGATTTTGAATAAAAAAATAATTATGAAGAATTGTGCTCAGAATGTGAAGTTCCGGAATACCTTATAGTTCATTTATATTTTCTTACTTAATGTTTGTTCAGGTAATGTGTGAAAAAAAATTCTAAGTTTAAAAAATTTCTTTCAGTAAGTTTAAAAAAAAAAATTCCAAGCAGTAAGAAAGCATGTTACAAAATTTAACTGGCTTTTTTTTTCTTTCTTAGTGATAGTTAGTGATATATCTAATAATCTATGGCATCCTACATTTGATAAAATACTGAATTATTATGATTCAGCATTTGGATTTTTTAGCCAGTACTGTGTACGTTCCAGATGTGTGTATGTATTCACTTACTTGTCAGATATATCTATTACATCATAACAAAGTTAGAAAAACTGCAGCTCTGAGGCTGATAAGAAAAACATGAGATGTGTTCTCTGTTCAAAAGACCTTACAGTCTTTTGGGGAGAGAGTCCAGTGTCCATTAAAAATTGGTGAACAGGGGCGCCTGGGTGGCTCAGTTGGTTGAGCGACTGCCTTCGGCTCGGGTCATGATCCTGGAGTCCCAGGATCGAGTCCCGCATCGGGCTCCCTGCTCGGTGGGGGGTCTGCTTCTCCCTCTGCCCTCTTCCCTCTCGTGCTCTCTGTCTCTCATTCTCTCTCTCTCAAATAAATAAATTAAAAAAAAAAAAATTGGTGAACAATGTGAATTAGTATTTAAGACGTAAATTTTGTAGTTCATTCTAGAATTGATTTACCTTGGTAATTGGCAGTATATAGGAAATGAGGAAGATGATTACCATGTCACAAACGTACTCTATTACCTCTCTGTTAAAGAAATTGGGAGGAGGAGTTTGAAGGAAAAGTAGGTTCCACATGTAAACATACTTAATTTGAGTTGTTAATAAATAACCAAGTGTGGGGCACCTGGGTGGCTCAGTTGTTAAGTGTCTGCCTTTGGCTCAGGTCATGAAACCAGGGTCCTGGGATCGAGCCCCACATCGGGCTCCCTGCTCGGTGGGAGGCCTGTTTCTCCCTCTCCCACTCCCCCTGCTTGTGTTCCCTCTCGCTGTGTCTCTCTCTGTCAAATAAATAAATAAAATCTTAAAAAATAAATAAATAACCAAGTGAAATTAATCTATAATTTTTTCAAGATCTAGATAGACCATTTTTGAGGTGATATGTGCAAAATAGTGATTTGAATTGGTGCCTGCTTAAGTAATTGTGAGTCTGAAATCTGTGGGTGCAATTTGGATTGCAGAGTTGGATATTGAAGAAATAAAGTGTTAATTCTTATATTCACATGAAATGCTTTTCTTTTCTAGACTCTGTTACGGCATGGTGCAAACCCAGATCTGAGAGATGAAGATGGGAAAACTCCGTTAGATAAAGCTCGGGAAAGGGGCCATAGTGAAGTAGTAGCTATTCTTCAGTCTCCAGGTTAGTGGGACAATCTTTCCTTTTACATCTGCTGTTAGTTTTCAGCTTCACTTTTACAGATACAGCTTCTTGTGTATGTATTAACATTATATAAATGAACTATTCCTATGAAGTCAAGTAATTATATGCACATACCTTAACATGTGATAAACCTTTAACAGTATACTGTTCAGTGTTCTTTGAGACTGTGGGTGCATGATTCCAGAATAACAAACCAAAAGTTTTTTTTTTTTTTTTTTTAAAGATTTTATGTATTTGTCAGAGAGAGAGAGCACAAGCGCACACAAGCAGGGGGAGCGGCAGGCAGGGGGAGAAGCAGGCTCCCCGCTGAGCAAGGATCCCCACACGGGGCTTGATCCCAGGAGCCTGGGATCATGACCTGAGCCGAAGGCAGACGCTTAACTGACTGAGCCACCCAGGTGTCCCAAAAACCAAAAGTTTAAGGGGCATGGGAATGTCATAAAGAATAGTTGGGTATTGTGTAGATGAAGTACTTTGACCAAATTTTTAAGTTCTGACAGAGTAAATGAATGTGGAACCTTTGTGAAATAATTTCTAGAATCAAGTGGAATATCCAAAATTATTTCCCTAAGTTGTGATTCAGCTCATTGGTGGGACTGACGTTCTTTAGTATTCTTGTGCTTGTTTCAGCAGCACATGTACTAAAAAAAATTGGAATAGTATCATTCTTACAAATGTCTTTGATAGATACAGTATCTTTTAATTTCAGTTTAATTATTGTTAATTAGGGATACTTTTTTTTCCCTTAAATATTTATTTGAGAGAGAGAGCGAGCACATCCAAGTGAGGGGAGGGGCAGAGGGAGAGTTAGAGAGAGAATCTCAAGCAAACTCCCTGGTGAATGTGGGGCCTGACGCAGGGCTCGATCCCACAACCCTCAGATCACAACCCCAGCCAAAATCAAGAGTTGGATGCTCAACTGACTGAGCCAACCAGGTGCCCCCGGGATAATTATAGTTTGAAATTCGGTACCTCTTAATGTTTTTTTTATTGAAAGAAAAATTTTCCAAGAATTTATTTTATTGAAAAATATTTGTCTGCAGGTGATTGGATGTGTCCAGTTAATAAAGGAGATGATAAGAAAAAGAAAGATACAAACAAAGATGAAGAAGAATGTAATGAGCCAAAAGGAGATCCAGAAATGGCACCCATATACTTGAAAAGGTTATTGCCAGTGTTTGCACAGACATTTCAGCAAACTATGTTGCCTTCAATAAGGTAGTTATTCATAGTATCTGTGTTTACTAAATTATGCCAATCATATAGTTCTATTTATCTCCCTTTTCCAGAAGGATTGAAGTTTATCTTAATACTGAAAAGGTATGGTAAGAATAAAATTTAGATTGGAAATTTGATTGGAGAGTTAAATCTTTTCTTCTGATGATCTGACTTGAGTTTTGAAAATCAAGAAGACTAGTTTTGTAGCTTGCTGAGTATCAGCTTTAGAGAAATTCTGGTAAGTACAGCAAACATTTATTGAGCTTTATGGAGGCTTTTTTGGTAGAGGCAATGCGAGATGTCATTGGAGAGTTAACTAAAGAAATGGGACTTGGTTTTCACTTCCTGTTCCGTTCCTTGCAGGCTAGTGAGGAAGATGTGAGTAATAAGAGTGAGTAGTAAGTGATAGATTAGACATACCGTCAGAGTTCTCTGGGAATATACATGATTTAACAATTAATTGGGCTACACAATTGGAGAAAATTTTATGCAGAAGTGAGATTTATTTTTTTTATTTTATTTTTTAAAGATTTTATTTATTTATTTGACAGACAGAGACACAGCAAGAGAGGGAACACAAGCAGGGGGAGTGGGAGAGGGAGAAGCAGCGTTCCTGCTGAGCAGGGAGCCCGATGTGGGACTCGATCCCAGAACCCTGGGATCATGACCTGAGCCGAAGGCAGATGCTTAACGACTGACCCACCCAGGTGCCCCTGGAAGTGAGATTTAAATTTGGGTTTAAAGGATACTTGGGGATTTTGTAGGCAGACAGATTAGAAGGATCACTGGGCAACTTTGTGTGCAAAGGCATGGAAGTATGAGTCAGTCCATCCTGGTACAAATCCTGGTGGCTCTCCTTCTGTAGTGTCATTGCTGTTCATCTGTTGTTAATACTCTGGTCTGTAGTCTGTAGTTTGGCTACTGCAGTTGCCTCTTAATTAGTCTTTCTTTTCTCTTTTGTTCCTTTATAATCTGTTCCTACATATTAGTCTAATTTATTTTAAAAATCATAATTATGGGGCACCTGGGTGGCTCAGTCATTAAGCATCTGCCTTCGGCTCAGGTCATGATCCCAGGGTCCTGGGATCGAGCCCCACATCGGGCTCCTTGCTCAGCGGGAGGCCTGCTTCTCCTCTCCCACTCCCCTTGTTTGCGTTTCTTCAATTGGTTTGTCTCTCTCTCTGTCAAATAAATAAATAAAATCTTT